AGTAGGTGCAATCAGACTTTTGCATGGCAATGTACGTGTACTGGTACTGTACGTGTACATGGATGTAGCCCCCTTCCATAGATGCCGGTAGGAGCACTCATCTACAGAGCCGTTTAAAGGGAGAGTTGTGACATGAGTACATGTATATCACCTGTTGGAACCAAATTGTCATTTACAATGTAAGGGTCAGTACACATAGACAACTAACACACAATAGTTGCATGCTCATTGCATACATAATGAACAGCCGTTTTGGTTCCAAAGTCTGAAGTTGGCGCCACTCTCCCTGTATAGAGCTCTGATCAACCAGAGGGTATAGCGCCCCCAGTGTATGGTTGAGGTATTGTGAGAAGGTGATTTGGTGTGAACGTGTTGGAATATGTGTGCTGCCCTCTACTATATCCCACTTTTTAAGCTTGTACATTGTTCATGTAGAAGTGTGTGTGTACATGTGTGCTTAAATCTGATTGGCTGTTAAGTTAGGGATGTTTGCACAAATATGTATAAACTTAATTGTTTTTTGCAGATCAGTTGAAAGAGAAAGGTAATGATGACTTAGCTGGGTAATTCCAGAAATTAAGGGTCAATCCAAAAGGTGTAACATTTTTGTGTTCCTGTTACATCTGACCTTTGTTGTTTTACATGGAATTGATTTCAAATTATTACTATTTGTTTGACAGGTACTTTGCATGAACTCATCATGCTTGGAAATTGGAAAATGTGTTCTGAACTTACAGAATCTTATGTCAGATTTGACAGGGCATGCAAAAAATGGACCCCTAATTTCTGGAATAACCCAGCTGTTAAATGAAGCTGCTGAGAAAGAGGCATGGGTAATGATAAAGGCACACATTCAAAATTTACATGCATACAAAATAATGCCTGCAACCATCCATCTGACTCTGAACATACATATACAGTAATTGTGCGCATGTGCACAGGACCAGGGCTTCATTTGTGAACGACATAAGGTGCAAGAGAAAGGACATAGCGGTACTACGCCATGTATAGGCCTACTAATGTAGAGACCTTCAAGTCTCTAAATTGATAGAAGATTCAGACAATGAAACTTGTTACTTTTGTAACTTTTTAAAATGAATGATGTTTGAAATTGATGTCTGTGGTTGAAACTGAACCTTTAGTCAATTGACACTCGGTATTAGTTGATCATGTTTCCCTAAATTGCTCAGTATACATGTAGATGTAGGTGTATGTTAGTTTCCATCTGCTGATGAATGTATGCTCTGGGCTGTCTAATGTCATTGTAATCTAATTGAGGTCTTCCGTTGATTAAAATGGCAGGATTCACTTAACCCCTATCTTCATGCTTCATTGATCTTCCTGAGAAAATCAGTCCAAAGACCATTGATTGTTGTCTTAAGTTTCATTCAAAACATCCAAGATTTTGATTTTTTCTCTGTGGTGCCACTTCCTTTGGGAAATCATAGCTTGTGTATAGTGTCAGCATAAATCAGGTCTATGGCAAGTGTGAATTCCTATCAGTAGTAGGGCATTGCCATGATTTCTACTCTAGGACACACACAGTTTTACATTATTTGTCTTTGTAAAGACTACTGCTAGAGGTATGTACCGTATTTAAAGACAACAGGGCATTAGGTATGGGACAAAACGAATGGACTTACATGTACGTCCCTAGTTGGAATTTGTGGAGTGAATTGCAAGTTACATGTTTATTCTGCTATTGTTCCTATTTACTGAAAAGGGACAACTTGATTGCATTTAATTAGCTGTAAATCAGTTGTTTTAAAGAATATCGGTTTTACAAAGCATGGATTTTGTACACACGCTTGTTTGTGTACAAAGAGCATGTTTAGGCATTTGTTCACGGACTTAAAGGCAGTGTACATGATGTGCAAAATCTCCAAATGGGAAAATAAGTCAAATAAGTCAGTAATAGTGTCGGACCATCTGTAAAATCTACCCACCAAGAATGCTGTTATTTTTGAGGAAAGAGATTTTAAAAAATTTGTCCAATGATCATCCAGATGACTGGTCTTTGGAAACTTTTTATTAGTTATCACATGAGTGCAAGTTGAACATGGAATAATGTAGTGTGTGTGTGTTCCGTATACCACAAGGCCAAAGATGCACTACATTATTCTGTGTTCCATAAGTGCAAACATTATAACAAATTTATCTTCAAGCAAACTTGATGCGCAGTAAAGATGGTTAAGGGGCCCTTTGCATACCTTACTTAAAAAGAAGACAAAAACTAACACTGTTGTACTACAATTCTGCAATTATATCTTGTGAGCATTGGAAATGTTTATGTTTTAGCTTATTTCAATAACAACAGGGCCTACACTAAGAATAGAAATTGTGAAAATTGTCACTTTTGAATTTACAGTTATGCAGATGTGCGTTTGCTTTTAGTGTAAAAAAAGCACAGTGCGTTGAGCTAAAACAGTGCATTACGTGGGGTGTGACACAATTGTGTCACACTGTTTGTTGCCGTGTATCGACCAATCAAAAATGAGAATTCAAGTTTGCCTTAAGATGGTAAATTTAAATATCACAACCCTTAACGGGTGCTACAATAACTTGTTTGTGATTCATTTTGCTCTTGGGTTTGAAATAAAATTAAAAGCTACAAAATACATGTACCAGGGTTCCTTCAGCATGCGCAAACACATTATTAAGTGATAAAATTGACAACCATAATTAATAGTCTAAAGGAGAGTTCTGATTTAAGGCCTCATGTGTTACATTAGATATGAAGGTTTTTAAGAGTGCTCGTTTGTAATTTCTTTTGGTAGAGTTGCATTGTAATCACATGGAAAATTCCCTTTAAGGCAGCGTCGAGCATGAAGCATGAACAGATTTTAATACTTGGTTTCAAATGTATTCCATAATGTCTTTCAAGCCAACAAATTTGGTTGGATATGTTGTTTGATTTGGAGCTTTTGGGTTGTAAATTAAAAAAACATACAAAATTGTGTGGGAATGCCAGCATGTGAACATGTGTTCCCCTGGGCCTCAGGGCAATTCCTTGAATGACGGACAGGTTGTGACTAATGGCCATTATGTGTTTCTAGTCTGGCATCCTGCTGCAAAAATACTTATTCTAAGTGGCCACCTGTGAATTGATTTGCTTGCATTGATGCTTTATGTCAGCAACTATAATGGACTAAGTGTCCAATCACCTCCCAATCAGATCACACTTACTGACTATTAAAGTAATCAGTGTGGTACACATGTATCACAGAGTATACTTTCATGTACTTTTCAAGACTGTGTGTGCCATCATCAGTATCACATGTAGGGCCTACCTGCATTATACACCATGTACTGGTATGTCATACTGCATCAGGCCTCGACCCTAAGCTTTTTGGAGGCATGTGGCCTTGTGGTTAGGGTTTGTAGCTTCTGATCATAGGGTCAGGGGTTCGAATCCAGCTGGTGGCAGCATGTTGTGATCCTGGGCAAGTCATTTTACCCCTATGTGCCCCTCTCTACCCAGGAGTAAATAGGTACCTGTGAGGGCAGACACGGTTATGTTTAGCTGTTTGCGCCAAAATGGCAGCACCGGGCTAGTATACTCCCCAGGGAGCTGAGATGGTTTCAGGAATGTTCAGATGATGTGAGAACCTAATGTGCGGGGATATTGATAATACAGCGCCTCAGAATAGTTTGCTAGATAGATAGTGCATTACAAGTGCTTGTTATTATTTTTTTCAATTAACCTGCTTGGCAAGTTAACTTAATTTTTCAGTAGCCTGAAGGAATTGTCACTAATTAGCTCACTGGACATTGTTAATAACAAAACAAACTTTGGCTGTTTTCAACTGTACTCATTTAACTGCGTCTGGAGTCATGCTGTTAATTTTAGAACTTCAAAGAAGAGGAGGATGCAAAACGGGTACTATTAATAGCAACACCGACAATTACAAGGCATAGCATATGTAACCTTTGAAGACAAATGACACTTTCAAACAGGTTGGTATTTCTTTACTTGCCCATCGGGCAAGTTAATGAATGCACTGTACTAGCCCGCAGGGCGCAGGCATTTTGACTAGAATCTGTATGCCAGTCTAGTGCAGAGGTTGAGACCTGTACTGCCTCCAACAGGTTGATAAACCTATTTGCTTCAGTTATTCTGTTTAGTTGATTGATGAATCCATAATTGGCAGATACCTTTACAGTACATGTAGTTCATTTTTCTTCTCTCTGTTCAGTGTACTTTATATCAAATCTGTTTGTTCATAATTCTGTGTTTGAAAAATAGCAGATACAAGGTATGGTAAGTGAAGTTTGTGTTCTGTTTGTCCCTGAGCCTTTATCCTCGTGTTATACAAGATGCATATGTTTTGCCATGCTTTACTCATCACATGCACACTGTTACCATGCATTTATAGCCTAGGAAAATCAATTCCACAGTATAACTGATTTCTACATAATGTGTAGGTCTCATAGCAACAGCAGTGTGATGTTATCCTTTGTAAATGTACATGTGTACATGTACTCTATTCCTCTGCATATGTGTACTGCATTTGCCAATATTCCATCATCACTGCTGAACGTGCAGGACTGCACTAGTGTTCACTGATAATAAAGTTCATACAGCTGAAATCACACTCTGTACCAGGCCCAGATATTGCACATGTTCAGTGTTTACTTCAGATCACTCAGAAGTATAGAGGTGGAAAAATATGAATATAAAAGTGTGTTACTTGGTAGAAAGGTTTGGCTAAAAAAGGTGCTTAATGTAGGTTTGTTTTTAAGAATTTGGCAAAATGCAACATTCAACGTCTCAAACGTGGAACAGAAATACGGACTGACTAGATTCTTTTTGAGTAAAGAATCTTCATGCTATTCAACATACATAATTATTATGTATTCCTTGCTCCCATAAAGGCATTTATAAGGATTGTGTTTAGATTGTTTTGCTTGATAAAAAGTTTCACAGACATACATGTACAGCGTATAGTGACTGACACTGCAACATAATGTACATGTACTTACATGTACATATATACGTACAAGTACTGCACTTCAATTCTGCTTTCTAGTGTAAAGTCTTGTGTTCCAAATCTTTGAGCTTTAATTGAAACCCTCGTGGTCTCTGTAACATTGCATCTTCTGCTCACTATAAATAGCCATTGAAATGCTCTCATCAAACCACACACAGTAAGGTAACCTAGTAATAAACGGCATCCCAGTGCAAATGAATATGTAATAAGCCATAAATCGGGGTTCTGGAACTCATCCCACTACGCTAGATTGGTAAAGCACTTGCAGGCAGTTATCAGTGAGAGTGGAGTGTGAAACTCAGTACAGAGACACACATACCTGTACGTGTACATTGCAACCACAGTGATATTTGTGAAGTTAGCAGTGGGATATTTGCACTTGTAGGAATACTTGAGTCTTGATGGCTGCATTTTTGGTGGTGACTAAAGCATCTATCATTTGGAATGAATTTTATATCAAGACAGTGACAATTCCCAAAGGTAAGTTGTTGAAAGTGGAACAGTCGGTGGTCTGTTGGATATTTGCTACTTACAGTACATGTACTTGTACATGTTTATTGATTATTTTTTAAAGACCAGCTTAAATCTGCTTGTCTTCAATGTCTTGTCTCAGCATGGTCTTGAATTTCTTAAAATGAATAGTTTATGGAATTCATTGAATGCTTTCCCTTTTTTTCAATGGAGTGAATGGCACTGACAGACATGTTACAAGTATTAGCATGGATAACATTGTGAAGCTTGTGAAGTAGATGGAATTAAATATTGGCTCATTAAAACAATGTCAGTTTTGTAAATGAACCATTTATTTAGCAAATATTTGTTAGAAATATGAAACATGTTAATACGCTGTTGTAAAACATAACTGAAGCAGGTATCTGTACATGTACATATGTACAGGGTATGTGTACATGTACATGTATGTATACACTTTGTGGCTTACAGAAAAATTAGATACTGTATTTTGACAAGGTATTGTTACCATCTTAATAGAAGCACATTGCTTTATTATGACATTGATGCTTATTTGTGATATTTGAACAAACAATCAACTGCTCTGCATTCTCAGGCTTGCAAACGTGAATTTGTACATGTACCGGTACAGTAAGCATAAGAGGCAAATGAAAACTTTCAAGTTCCATTGTTAGTTGAAGAAAATAATCTGCTTTTGTGATTTATTTACAGATTATCAGGAAAATATACTCTGTACTCATTGGGTTGTACAATAAGTTTTAATACAAGGTCTCTTAAACGCACATTTCTAGCACAGACACTTTGGTGGACGTCACTCCCTTTGCCCAGAATAAAATTTGTCGGTGATCAGGAAATATGGCATCTGTCTTTATTAACCAGTGTATTCAACAATTTTAATATTGCCGTCAGTTGCTGTGTAAAGTGTTATTCCCTTGATTATTGGCAACAGACGTAATTTGTGTTCAATTATGTTAATAATTTACTTGATGTTCAGCCATCTGGCATGATTCATTGAGGAGGGATGTTTCATTTTGTGAGCATTTGAAGTCTGTCTACATGTTTGCAGGGAGCACATTGCAGTGGTAGACAATGCCGTTTTCATTGCTTGGAGTTTCAAGTCATGATATACATTGTACATGTATCCCTGATATATGCCTGCCTTACAATTTCTCTACATGTCCGTATTTTGTCAAATATTCTGAACACTTGCATTGAGAGTACATGTAAATATGTTGTAGCAATTACCATAGGATCAGTTGACATTTCATGTACATGTATGTACCAGTAATTCTTTAAACCAGTCAATGGTCTCATTGTGCATTGAAGAATGTACATGTACATGAACATTTCAGTATGTGGTTTTGTTTAAAAATGTGCCACTGTCACTTTGTCATCACTTTGTGATTACACAGTGTAGAATTTTTTGTTTTATTGTTTGTATTTGAATGTATTGTATGTAATTTGTTAGATGGGCTAGTCTAACACAAGCCTTTGCTTTTTAGGCTTTTACCCCCTCTTCTTGTCTTCTTTATGACTATTTAATACATTTGTTTGGATAATACTTTATGACTATTTAATACTGTAAGTAGGCCTTTTGCTATTATTAGAAGAGGAAATAAATGTCTGAAAGAGAGAGACAGAAATTGAATACTTCTTTGAGGTGTAACACTAACCAAAAAAGTGACTGTATTATCAATACATGCAGTACATGAGAGAGCCTGAGTCAGCTTCTCCAAAGTTTGTTATATTTGTTGTTGTTGTTCATCCTTTGATGTCGAAGATGACCATGACTCCAAATCAAATGGATTGTTGATGACTGTGGGTCCAAAGATGGCTGAATGGGCCAATCCTGGCCCCGAAGACACACTCACATATGGAACATACATGTATGTAGGTGGGTGTTGTAGAAGATGATAAGGTGTTTCTTGCCTTGCATGCAGCAAGCTTTCTCTGTGCCTCGACAAGACGTCTTTCCTCCGCCTTACTAGATCCTTTTGTGATTCTACTTTGCCATGTGGGATGGTCTTGAGCAAGCAGCTCCCAGGTGTGGGGGTTGATGTCCAGGTCCTAGAGGGACACTTTAAGACTGTCCTTGTATTTTTTTTTCTGTCCCCAATTGAGCGCTTGCCCTGACACAGTTCTCTGTACTGGCACATCAGTTGTTTCAGCAGTTGACTGTCAGGCATTCTGACGACATGGCCTGCCCATCCAGCTTGGGCTTTCTGTAGGAGAATGTACATGTAAACTCTGGGGATGCTTGTAGTTTGTCTTGTCACCTGATGCGGAGGAGCCTGCAGAGACAGTTCAGATGTAAATGGTTGAGCTGTTTGGCATATGTCCGCTGTAAACAGCAGTGTTGGAGATCTCCAGGCCGAATTTAAAGGCTTTGGCCATGCTTTGTAATGACTCAGTTTTGGCATTGGCCTTGGCACCGTCTGGACTCAAAAAATCAGTCGAGGCCAGTTTGAGGCCACCTGTTTGTGGGTCAGTTTTCTCAGCATTTACCTTTCCTCCCACATTTTACTGTTACAAAGGACTTGTGACGTGCATGTGCTGTGGGCATGGATCAATTTTGTGTACAAACAGATGGTGTGGTTAATGGTAACTTGACTTCCTAAAGACAGGATACATCTTACTAGATTTTACCCCCAAGGACTGTACATATTTCCATTTATTGTTGCGAAAAGGATAGTTTTGTGTTGCATAAATTAGGCTACATGTACTCAATGAAAGTTCCTTGTAAAAAAGAGAAGATTCTGATCTACTAAAATGGGTAATTTTTAAGTGGCATTGTAAAGGCTATCCGGTACATTTACAAGAAAGTGGGTATCATGTCTGAAAATGTTAGATAAGAAATACCTTAACAAGATGAAGTTTAAATCATGAGTGTTGACACATTTGGCTGCCTGGTGATGAAGTGCACGGTGATATTCCAGCATGCACATGTAATGATTAGTCAACATGGCCATTTGCACGCGATAGCTTCGTATGTGCCACTGTGCCGAGGGCGGGGTGGACACATACTGCCTATATGCCATGTATTCATTGTTAGCATAAAATGCCACTTTTAGTGCTTTTGAAAGGAAATTACATGTATTCTAGTTTTCGGAAGCTCTCCTGACTTTTTTTATTTCATTTCTTGTTGAAAACTGGTTTAATCACTCACAAATTAATGTGGTTGCGGGATTTTTTACAACTGTTTAACTATTTGTGAACTTCCAACTGTCAACTGATTTTGTTTTGGGATTAATAGTTGGCATGTAAGCCTTGCCTTATTGTGATCTTGTTTTTATAATTGAAAATTTTGAGAAATTATTTTGTGGGGAATTGTATGTATTAAGAGCAATTCAAGTTTTTATATTTTTCTCTTTCTGTGATGGTTGGGGGACTCCTTGTTGAAAGAAATATAAAAAATTAGCTTTGGAACACCTGCTTGTGATCTAAATGAATATTTATGCCAGCCAACAGTGCCAAAAGTACTCAAAAGAAAAATCACCTTCTACATGTATCATGTAGATAGTATGTACATGTATGTATATTGTACATGTATGTGTGTAATAACTGGCCTCAGCCTTGGCTTTGACTTCAGAGACTGTGGCCTTGGCCTCAAATGGCAGTCACTCAGTCTTGGCCTCGGAGACCCATGACTCAGATTTGGCCTTGGCCTCAAAGGTTGTGGACTCACTCCAACGCTGGTAGACAGTCCAGGTCTCACTGGTGTAGAGAAGGGTGGTGAGTACCACTGCCTGGTAGACCTTCAGTTTGGTGGTTAGGCTGAGACCTCTCTGCTCCCAGATGTTTTCATGGAGTCTTCTGAAAGTTTTACTGGCACGAGCAATGCTGTTGTTAACAAAACGGTGTCTATGTTTACCTTACGAGATAGCATGCTGCCCAGATAGGTAAGGTTGTCAACTTCTTGTAGGTTTTGCCCTTTCACAGCAGTGTGTGGTTCCTTGTGGGGTTCCCCGGCATGGGCTGGTACACAACTTCAATCTTCTTGGTACTTATAGTGAGGCCTAAGTTGTTGTCCCGTCATCTAGTTCTTTTACCATCATGCCATCCTGAAATTGCTGGATGATCGTGATGAACTTGCTAAGAAAGCCAAATGTCTCCATTATTTGCCATAGGCCATCTCTGCTGACTGCATCGAAGGCTTTGGTCAGGTCGAAGAAGGTCACGAAAAGGTCAGTATGCTGCTCTTGGCATTTTCCTGGAGTTGGCATGCAGCAAACGTCATATGAACAGTTCCATGTTTCGCATGAAAGCCGCATTGGCTGTTTGGGTGAAGACCCTGCTCAAGGGGTTGAAGGAGGCGAGACCCTGCTCAAGGGGTTGAAGGAGGCGATTGAGCAAAACCTGTGTCAGTATCTTCCCCGCAGTGGACAAGAGGGAGATGCCTCGGTTGTTAACAGAAGACTGACGATCACCCTTCCTTTTGTAGATGTGAACAATGCCAGCATCTTTCAAATGTTGTGGGGCCTTCCCGTTGTCCCACATGTATTGGAAGAGGTCTGTAAGTTTCTGCAACATGGCAGCTTTGTACACTTTGGCAGGTATTGTATCCGGTTCTGGTGCTTTGCCTCAGGAGAGTTGTTTGATGGCAGTTCTGATTTCTTCTGTGAGAAACTTGTCAAGGTCCCGGTTGATATCCAGCTAAGTTAGCCGTGCAGTGGCCTCTTCGTTAATTTTAGTGGGGCGATTTAAAACCTGGTGAAAGCGTTCAGCCCATCTCTCCAGAATCTGCTTCTTCAAAATGTACAAAAGTCGACATGAAAATATCTTGAGTCATTCCTGTTAATAAAATTGCAAAATATATAAAAGTTATTTCAAGGTCATCATAGGGCCTAAGTTTAATAACTTTGCACATTTTCACAATGATTTTAATTCCTTTGTTGAGACTTGTCAGATTGCTATTTCAGTTGAGTAAGATTTGTTTACCGTCTTGGTTGCAAAGAGCAGAGTCCCTTTATTAAATGCACTTTTCTTCTGACTCTCCCTTTAACAGGTCAAAAGAAGAAAGTAACATGTCGAGGTTGTCGTAAGCCCTGCTCTGGTGAAGTGCTGCGGGTACAGAATGAGTATTTTCACCTCAAGTGTTTCCGGTGTTGTTGTAAGTATTTGCATTTAGCTTGACTGAGGTGCTGTCCTCATTTTCCTCATTTCCCTGGGTATATTCAGCATGAGCATATGGAGGTCTGACTTACGAAGTAGTGTCTGTCCACATTGATACACAACACCAAAAATTTCCGTCCTTTGGAAGTTTGTGAAAAGCCAAGAAATGTCCTTTAACAATTTTAAGACTATTTTTGCAATTGCAGAATAAACTAGTAGTTTACACAGTAATAGACAATTTGATTGTAAATTGTTGAATTAATAAAATATTTGATGAAAACAATGTGCGTCACTAAAAACAAAATTAGGTGACAAACATGATATTCATAGCATCTTCCTCGGTAGAATTTCCTATTAAGAAAGGAAAAAGTTTCTTTGAAAGTTCAGTGAATATTAGCATTGTGGGTCCTTTAACAAAAATGTCGGAATTTGTTTAGCTTTAAATTATGGTAAGGCAAAGAAGAGTGATTGTCCAAGTGATAAATATGGACCTCCATAAGTTCTTAAATATTGCTTAAATTGCCAGCATCTTGACCTGTCCAGTGTAACAAGCAGAAACAGGGAAGATATGCAAGCAAAACGTAAGGGCAAAATTTGAAATGTCTACTCCATAGCACACAGTTGTATCATTTAGTGTGGACAGACCCAGTAGCTGCTGGTTGTTGAGTGTAAATCATATTGAATCCTCTTCATTATTTCTCACTTTTTGTTTGTAACCTGGGAAATAAAGTACAGTGTATCAAGTAATCTGTCTTAGTGCAAATTTTATTTAGACCCATCTGAAGCAAGCTTAACAAACTAGTGTAAAATTACCATACCTGCAAAATACTGACTCATATACAGTGTATGCATGTTTGTAATCATGCTGGCGAAGCTGTATGAAGTACTCTTGTACATTTATATGGACTGGGTGTATCAAAGAGCTACCATGGATGGTGTCCAAAAGTCTTGCAGTTTTCCTGACAAAACTGTCCAGCTTGAATGCAGTTTTGAGTCATCAAAAGCCTTTGTCTTGTCCGTAATCTTAGATGTGAGTTCATCATAAAATTATACGTGAATGATGTCAAATGTCTCATTTTTTTTCACAATAGGGTACAGGTGTACTCTTTATTTGAACCCAGTGTCCTCTGTGTTCAGTGAGCTTGGAAGTATGGATCTCTCTTATTGGATGCCATCTTTGTAGGAAAATTGTACAATGATAACAGGTGCGTGTATGCACGCTGTGAAAAATGTTCTGAACTTGCATGCGTACTAATCCAAAGATGTTCAAAATATGGCGCAGCTGATGCACGCCATGAAATTGAAGTAAAAAATGGCGATGCGCAGCAATCTGTGGGAAGGACATCATTTGAGAGAAACCTATTGATTGGCTAGTTTGGCAGCACTGAGATGAGCTCCAAGGTGGACCAAGAGAGGGTGCAATTTTCCCAGGAACAGAGGCTCCATTGGTAGGAACTGCACTTTACTGGTTCACAAAGGAATATGAAATACACAGCACATGTTGCAGTTGCATCACTACCAACAAAAACCGATGAGCAGGTGCTTCTGCTCAAGGCCGATCGATACGCTGTACATACAGTCCTTTTAAAAGCAAATGTCAGTGTTCAAACTTACATTACCGTACTTGTTCCCAATGAAAAATTTTTCCAAACCATTTTATGTGCTGCTTTTCATGAATACCATGTACAGAATTGAAGTAGTCAACTGACTCCAAAAACCTCAATGTTTGGGCAGGCTTTCACTGCATTAAGGCACAATATTTTGCTTTTGTTAGGCAAATTACCTGTAGGAGCGAGTTGTGGGGACATTTGTCTACCTCCAGAATGGTTTCAGTCCCCACAAAATGCACATACATGTACATGTGCTTATACTTGCATAAAGGTGAAGTATTGTGTTTGCACTGTTTGTCCACACAACTATGGAACAAGTACATGTACATGTGTGTGTGTGTAGATGTATGTACATGGACAGTGTATACATTTCCATTATTATTTGATCCATTGTTGTATGTGGCGGTCACTCAGTTTACATGCACAGTAAATGTGCACATGTAGCCGTATACAGTAGTCTTGTCACTTGGGATTGGTAGTTGAGTTCAATGGGTTTGGGGCTGTTGCAATATTTGTGAAGGTGTCAAGAATATTTTTGCAAATAAATAAGAGTCAAAATATCAGTGTACATTTTCTTTTGAGCAGCTTCAACTCTTTTTTGCATCTCGCCCCACTCCAGAGCCAGGTTTTAGATACATGTATCAGTGGAATTGTGATTAGTAAGATAAATTAATTAACTAACAGTGAGCATTTTATTTGTAGCCAGTGACCTTCAGAAAATAAATTTATAAATGGACGCTCTTAAGAGCATCTTTGGAGTGTCCCTGTGGGCCAATTCTACCATCCAAGTACATCTATCAAATTGGCATCTGCCTCTTTCTTGCTTTGAAAATACTCTGTTTGGCCCAGGGGATGCAGTTACAGGTCAGCATTCCTGTTACAATATACTATAGTAGACAGATGGTTCTGTGGTCTGTTGTGTTTTCTGTCATCAGCCAGAGTCTGAAACTGACTACATGTTAAGTATTGTTGAAAGATGACAGGAGTGCTGTAGTACATTTAATGCACCTTTCTTTGTTTTTAAATCCCAGTATGTTGTGCCACTCAAATGGCTTAAAAAAGCAAAAACAAATCAAGATACCTGTACAATGAAAAAAAAGACAGATCAGGGAGATTAACAAGGAAAGTGAAATTTAATCAAAAAGAGTTTTAAAAAGTATTTTAGAATTAAATTTACCAAATATGTACACATCTGTATTTGAAATTCTGTCTGCTGTTACTAGAAGTAGAATGGCAAGACTGTAATTTGTTTTAATGTGTTAAACTTGGCATATATCAGGCACAATATTGCAGAGATGGATGTAAACGTACATATATTTCTCAACAACTCTATTTAAGTACACACATACCTTTTTATGCAGTGTTTCCTTTTTATCTTATTAAGCTAAGTTTACTAGATTTTAAAACAATTTCTTGTAAGCAAATGCTGAAAATTACACCTACCTGTACATGGACTGGTATTACATTTTACATTTAAATGCCCTCAAATCTGTTTTGTCTTGCATTCTAGCCACACTTAATTTTTTAACTTTCTGCCTCTAAATAGAGATGTGAATTTCTACATTTAGTACATTTTTTAAAAATAAGTCAGTGAAGATGTACTGTATATTGTACATTGTACAGCTATTTCAGCGGACTTCTCAGCCAATCTGGCTGCACTTAGCAACCTCATCAGTGTCAGTTCGTGAGCATTTAGGATATGTGTATTTCTGCTTGGATATAATGCTGAGCAGATGTGAAATGGTTTATGGTTGGAGAAACAGTCTTTGGTGACTGCTTGAATCTAAGGGATGGATCATTTTACCTTCTGCTAGCTCTGGTGCCAGATATTTTTTTTTCATTGAAGTGTACCATCATTCATCCTTAGAATCATAACAACCAAAGGCACCATGGACAAACAAACATGTGCATTCAACATGCTTAAATTACGCTTAAAATTAATTATTAGACTCAAGTTTTGGGAAGTTCTTTTCCATTATATAGAAATACATAATCTACAAATTAAAAACAGAAGAGCCAAGTTACGGTAGTTGTACGTTCGACAGGGATCAGAGGATCCATGTTATTTCTAGTTTCTTGCCCAATAGAATGTTGTCTGTTCACAGTGCATCTAGTGAACTAGAAAATCTAATTGTGTAATTGGTTTGATAATAAGAAGGTTGTAATACTAGTATTCCCAGCGCTGGATTACCACTCAGATTACAGTGAAATCTGTAGGCAAATTGAATTACATATTCTTGTCAGAAACATGTAAGCATTGCCTGTGTGCATGCACAGGTAGCCATGCGTGAAGTACATGATGGAATAGGCACATTTCTGGTAATTAGTGGTTGTGATATTGTGTACGCCCCCTCTGGAATTATGTGCTAATGATCACGGAAGATCCCTAAATGTCACCATTTCAGCTCCTATTATGAGGATGTGTCTCATGCAATCAAGGAAGATGCTGCTAAAGATTGCCAAGACTTAAGGAGTTGGAATAATCTGAGGAACCAGGCACACCACTGCACACATTGATGTATCGGCCAATCATTTCTGTCTTTTTCTTGCATATACATGTACATGTATAACCTTGAAAAGGACAAGCCATTATATACTGTACATGTATGTAGAACACTTGACAGTCATCCTCCCCCAAAAGTGAAAAGAAATTTCAGTTCAGAGCTCTGTTAGGCCAAAAAAAAGACGCTGGTTTCTGGTCATGGGCTTGGTTCAAAAATGGTGTGGTGACACGTTTTTTTTTTCTTAGAAGTGATGTACATGCACATGTATTTTAGAGTGCATGGCCCTGTTACTAATACTATGAGAAGTATGAATTAACAACTTTGAATTAATAAAAAGACCATAAAATATGACAAAAGGCAATGGTGTCAGTCATCTCACTCAAACAAGAGACTTCAATTCTTGGCAAGATTGAGCTTGTTAAAATACAGTAGTGCAACTGTGGAAAAATTGAATGTGAAAAATAAATGTTCAGCTCCAGTTTCCGGTTTTAAATGAAATTCTCATGACATTCTTTGCACATAGTTTTCTGCTTTAGCTTAGAGGAAACAAGTTGCACATCAAGTAGCCTATGAAAAAAATAAAATCAAAACAGTTCAGCTCCAGAGTCAAAATGAAAATAAAATTCTTATGCGGTAAATGATGTACTGTGCACATTGTTTTCTATTTTAGCTTATAAGAAACAAGTTGCATTTAAAATATTGGGGAAAAATTCAGCTGAGAAAATGAAAATAAATCTCCTCTCACTCTAATCTACCTTTGTTCTTGGCAAGTGACAATGCATGAGTTGATGTATGGTTGTCATAACGCGATGTCCATCGCCACTGCATGCACTGCAGGAGTATGTACCGCCACTGCCTCACTGACACTGAAATAGATTGGCCCC